AGGGTGTCCCGTTGAGACCCATATTATCGATGATTGGGTCTTCACAGCATAAAGTCGCAAGTGGCTTGCTATAATGTTGCAACCAGTGTTGCAGCATTACAGTTCTTTTGTATTAAAGATTCATTTTCTTTTCCAAATTCATTCGGAATTGTGATGCCACTAATGGATTTATGTGTTCCTTTGACATCTGTAGCCTCTTCACTTGTGTTCCTTTATCGGAGACTATTGATATTTGCAGTTATATGTTATATCGCAGTGATTTGACTCCTCCGAATATACCTGAAGAAGTGTTCGTTGAACTCATGAAATTTGCCACTATGTTTGTCGATTTTAGTTTCGACAATATCATGTATCGTCAGATCGATGGTGTAGCGATGGGTTCCCCTTTGGGTCCTGTTTTGGCAAATATTTTTGTGGGTTTTTATGAAGAAAGCCTTTTGTTAAGTTCTGCCCGACCCAAGGTTTACTTTCGGTATGTTGATGACACTTTTTGCGTGTTCAGCCATGAATCGGAAGTGGATCAATTTTTTTCCTACTCAATGGTGTTCATCCTGCCCTTAAATTTACATTAGATAAGGAGGTCAATGGTTCATTGCCCTTTTTAGATGTTCTTGTTCAAAGAACTCCTTCCTTGTTTATTACCTCTGTGTACAGGAAGTCTACTTTTACAGGACTATATACACGTTGGGACTCCTTTTGTCCTAAACAACAAAAGATTAATTTGATTAGGACCCTGACACATAGGGTGTTAATGATCTGTTCGGATGACACCTTGAAACATGAAATCAGTTGTTTAACTGAGATCTTTGTGAACAATGGTTATCCGTTGAACATTGTTCAATCAGTTATTCGAGATGAGACCGCCAGGTTCAACAAAATCAAACCTGCTTCAGTCGGTAAATGTCCGGTCTATCTTCGTTTACCGTGGTTGGGTAGGATTAGTGAATCCTTTGCCAAGCGTATTTCATGTAGTTCACGAGAGTGTTATTTTGCAGCGAACGTTCGTGTTGTCTTTCAAACTAGGTCTGTACTTCCATCTATGAGTAAAGATGTTCTACCCCCCACCATATTAACTCTGTTATTTACTATTTCAAATGTAGTTGTGGATGCGACTACATAGGTAGAACGACACAGCGGTTGGACGTGAGAATTAAACAACACGTACCTGCGATAATACTAAACAAAAAATTTTCTTCGGCGATACCATTCGTAACACGTATGGGTCTTCCAATGGATCATTTTATAAAGAATCCAACTTGTGCGATGGATTTCAGTGTGAACTGGTTTTCCGTCTTGGCCAGTTCGCACTCACTTTTCCATCTTAAGGTGTTGGAGCCGCTTTACATCAGGTCCAGGCAGCCTTCTCTTTGCAAACAAAGAGATTGTTTGCTTGGACTTGCTGTTCTGCGCTTCTAGCAGCTTGGTTGGTATAATTTTATTTTTATTTTTTTATTTTTTTTATTTTTTTTATTTTTTATTTTTTATTTTTTATTTATTTTTTTTTTTTCCTTCCTTCCTGTCCATTCATTCATGTCATCCATGACAGACTTTTTTCTTTTTTTTTCTTTTCCTCATAATCTAAATTCCCCGTTAACAGTTCTGATGAGAGGGGACGAAACCGGTTGACTGGTGTGTGTTTTATTTTAAACTTATCATGGCCTGCAATACAACATTTCTAGTTTTAATGCCTTAATACGCTTTTGTACCGTTTCAAACCTATTTAAATATATATATATATATATATATATATATATATATATATATATATATATATATATATATATGGACTACCATCTTTAAACTTCCAATTGAAAATTGCACCAGTGAGGTTTCTCCTTGGGTCCAAGCCGGCAAGGACACTGTCATCCCTTCTCAGAAATACCAGGTGAAACTTCAGTCCTCTCCTCTTGGCTGCTATAGCACACAAGAACCACTATTCTTAGCTATACCAGCATGATGGCTCAAGTCACAACAGGTGCCTTTTTGTTGCTGCTCACAATAAATGTAAGTTTCTGTTTGCTGAGAGAATGAGGTACCACATAGACTCTAAAAATTTTGGCTTTCATGATTACTGGCAGCACTGTAATAGGGCATTAAATAACTGTATGGTCTCTATTTCTCCCCTCTTCAATCAATATGAGGTATTATCATCCTCTGCTGAAAAAGCTGAATGCTTTGCCTGTAAATTCTTCTCAAACTCCTCTCTTGACTCATCTGGAATATTCCTGTTTAACTTTACTCCTAGAACTGAGTCTCTGTTGATATGCATATAACCCCTTCCACTTAATAGTATCCATGTAATAGTCATTAAGAAGTGTGCTCCTGAACTGACTCCTGTTCTCTCTAAACTGTATAATAATTGCCTTGCTGGCTTCTGCTTTCCTGCCTGCTGGAAGTCATCATCTGTTCTTCCAGCTTTTAAGAACCCTGGTGAACTGTTCGACCCTTCCAACTATCAGCCTTCTACCACTTTTTCTTAAAATCTTAGAGGCCCTAATTAATGCTGAATTGGTTCCTCATCTCTCATCACAGGGTTTTTTTCTCAAACAAGCAATATGACTTTCATTTCTCCAGGTCAACTGCTGATGTACTGATGATAATTGCAGAAAGAGTCTATCATGCTCTAAATAAAAACAGTGAAGCTCAGGCTGTAGCTTTGGACATCTTGAAAGCCTTTGACAGGTTCTGGCATTCAGGTCTTCTCCACAAGCTGAAAAGTTACAGTGTCTCCAGACACTTTTTTGAACTGATCCAGTTGTTCCTATCAAATCGTGAAATGAAAGTTATCCTGAATGGCCATTTGTCTACATCCTTTTGTACTAACACAGGTGTCCCCCAGGGCTCTATCCTTGGTCTTATTCTGTTTTGAATATTCATTAATGACCTTCTTGATGACACCATCTCTAAACATGGTATCTATGCTGATGACACAACAATTTACTCCTACCTCAATAGTAAGGCTTATCTGACAAGATCAAAATGGCAGTTGATAATGAAAATGACCTCATGTCCATTGTTAACTGGGGCAAAAGATGGTGTGATAATTTTAACACTTCCAAAACTAAATTTCTCTCCATCAATCATCTGAGAGAACATTTGCTGCCTTCCATCAGCGTAGCTGATGCTAACCTCCAGAAAAGTAACTTGTTGCGCCTTCTCAGGCTCATATTCTTTGCTGATATGAAGTGGAAAAACTATATTGAATCCATTGTTAGATCAGCTGCTAAGAAAGTCAGTTCACTATGTCAGGTGAGACAATTTTTCTCTCCAGAATCTATCTTACATATCTATAAGTCTACCATTCATCCATGCTTACAATACTGCTGCCACATATGGTCTGGTCCCTCTGCTATTTACCATGAGCTCCTTGATAAGATCCAAAGAAGAATCAGCAATATTATTGGTCCTGATCTGGTAGCTCAGTTCCAGTCACTTTCCAACCACCATAAGGTTGCTTCTCTATGACTTTTCTATATATACTTTCATGATAATTGTTCGGATGAGCACTTTGCTATGGTACGTTGAATTTAAGCACAACACTAGACAGGCATCAAGATCTCATCAATTTACAGTTAAACTGGCTAGATGTATCTGTAAATTCTATGCTAACAATTTCTTTTCTCGCACTTCTTACTTGTGGAACTCCCTTCATGCTTTCCAGCCAATTTTAATCTGCAAAAATTTAAATGCAATGTCAATCCCTATCTACTGTACACTTGATTACTCTTTCTTCTCTTTCTGCTCAACATCATTGTTTCTGTTACTAATTCTTACATGCCTCTTGTGTTTTAATGGCATTACTGCCTTACTTGGGATGATACTGTTTAAAAAAAGAAAGTAAATATGGGTGATTAATTTTTGAGGAATTTGTTGAATAAACCCTGTCATAACAGATGTAACATGGCTAATCGATAAAAATTGGAGAAAATATTTATCTGAACATATAAGATTTCTCTTCAAAATTGTTATTAGTCAGATGAGTATTGCATGGATATTTATTTCTTTGACTAAAAAAACAATCTAAAATTTTCCAAAATGTTTGGTTTTGTTTCTTGCAAAAAATGAAAAAGAAAAGTAATAAATAAAATGAAGTTTTCTCTCCAACCCATTTCCTCCCGACCACAAAATTTCAAATCTATCAACATGTCTCCAGGGCAATATGAGTTTTCTTCAATTTAATGTCCTTTAAAAGCTGTGCAGATATTATCTGACAAATATCTTGCACATTTTATCTACCTAAAACAATCTCCCCACTGCTAACATGTACCAATGCAAAATATGGTTACCATAGTAGCAAGTATCCAGCACACACATTTTGCACAACAACAACACACTAAATTAAATCCGCGTATAAAGTGAATGACCCTCAAGTCAAAATGCAAACATTTCAAAAGGCTGACATTCAAGAATTCCTAAGTCATAAAAATTATTTTTTAATGGACACTATCAAATATTCCATTCAGATGGTGACCACACATTTTCGTTGGCATGGAGACTGTATTTTTCTTTTTATCCATGTATGATTAAATGCACACATTAGCATTTACATTATATATCTCTCTCTCTCTCTATATATATATATATATATACACACACACACATATATATATATATATATATATATATATATATATATATATATATAGGCAAGCCACATGTGTGCTTTTGAATAAAATAATATAAACTATCATCTCTATTAAAAAGATTGCACAAACACTTGCAACCGTGGTAAAACTTGTGCAAACATGAGCATGTGCTCCAAGTCTCAAGTATTCAAATTCTCTTGTTGGCTGTGGAATTGGTGCAACTAATTTATGATTGCTAATCATTTAAAAAAAAAAAAAGAGGAGAAAAAACAGTATTGATAAAGAAAATATTGAGAATGGCTATAAAATCATTACATAAAAATGCTTTTATTATGAGACATGAATTCTTCAAACATAATCAGGTGCCATGGGACAGATTTGAAAAGTGACAGACAGGAAAATAAAAAGTAAACAATGAAAATTGGCTGTATTACTTTCTTTCTTTCTTTCATAAATAAATCTGCCAGAGTTTGTATTCACTCCAAGTTTCTCTCAGTAGATTTTTTCCTGTCATAAACATGATCCACATTCCCATTGATCCACTTTATGTTATTGGCTGAGTTTAGAATATGCTAACTGCTGTCCTGCAAAGGAGTAAACGATCCAAACCAAATATGGATACTCACAGCCACTAGTGCAAATTAGACCTATGTCTGCCTTTTTGACTCTAGTGTAATCAGGACATATGTCTGCCTTTTTGACTCTGGTGTAATCAGGATATATGTCTATATTTTTGACTCTAGTTAATCAGGACCTATGACTCCTTTTTGACTCTAATGTAATCAGGACATATGTCTGCCTTTTTGACTCTAGTGTAATCAGGATATATGTCTATATTTTTGACTCTAGTGTAATCAGGACCTATGACTGCCTTTTTGACTCTAATGTAATCAGGACATATGTCTGCCTTTTTGACTCTAGTGTAATCAGGATATATGTCTATATTTTTGACTCTAGTGTAATCAGGACCTATGACTGCCTTTTTGACTCTAATGTAATCAGGACATATGTCTGGACTCTGGTGTAATCAGGATATATGTCTATATTTTTGACTCTAGTGTAATCAGGACCTATGACTGCCTTTTTGACTCTAGTGTAATCAGGACATATGTCTGCCTTTTTGACTCTAGTGTAATCAGGATATACGTCTATATTTTTGACTCTAGTGTAATCAGGACCTATGACTGCCTTTTTGACTCTAGTGTAATCAGGACATATGTCTGCCTTTTTAACTCGAGTTTAAGGTGAAGATAAATCTACCATTTTGATTCTAATGTAAAATGTAACTGTATCTACCTTTTTTTTTCTCTAGTGTAAACTGAACCAGTGTCTATCTTTTTTGATTTGAGTATAAATTGTACCTGTGACAACCTTTTTGACAGAGACAGAAAAATTTCATTAGAAACAAAGAAAAGTGTATTGAACTGTTATGTGATATCTGTCATCTTGTATGGCAGCAAATGCTGGACTATCTCATCAAAGATAAAGCAATAGAAATGTGGTTCTACAGAAGGATGCTGAGAATACCATGGACTGAACATGTGAGCAACAACAAAGTTTTAGAGAAAATGTAAACAAAAAGAATACTCATACTTAACATCAGGAAGAGATAGGTTGAAATTTCTAGGACAGATAATGCAGAAAGAAAGCTTGGAAAAATTAATACTCACAGGTCAGAATGATTAAATGGAAGACAGTTTATGTGAGATGACAAACAGACAAAAAGATGCTGAGGTTACAATGGATCAAACATGTGAGCAACGACAATGTTTTAGAAAGAATAGAGACAAAAAGGAAACTTATACTTAAAATCAGGAAAAGGCAGTTGAAATTTCTAGGTCATGTAATGAGGAAGTAGGGCTTGGAAAACATGATACTCACAGGACAGACTGAGGGAAAGAGGGACAAGGGAAAGCAATGCATGACATACTTAATTATACTTGAGCAAATAGATAGTAGAACATAGTTGGGAGAAAATAAGAAAAAAAAAAGCTTATTAAGAGCTACCGGGGACAGAAAGATGGGTGGGGACATGATTGCATATGTCCTGGAGGGACACAGCACATTAAATTAAAGAAATTAACTGGACTTGTATCTCTCTTTCTTGTCTCTAGCGTAAACTGGACCAGTGTCTACCTTTATGACTCAAGTGAAAATTGTACCTGTGTCTATCTTTTTAACTCTAGTGTAAACCAGGCTTATATCTACCTTTTCGACTCTAGTCTATATGAAACACATATCTACATTTTTCACTACTGTAAACAAGACATACTCTATATCTAACTTTGTTTTTTTTAAACTAGTTCAAACTGAACCTGTGACTATCATTCTCTTAATTGTTGTAATTATTGTGTGATAAGACTTTTATGTGACATTAAATAACAGAATAAGGGTTGATATGTCATTCGATTAACCAAACTAACTTAACTTTATCCATTACTTTGAATAAAGACCAACAATTTCTGATACATGCAGTCTCTTCCTAGCTTATGAAAGAGGAAAACAAAAAAAATATCTTTCTTCTAAGAAATAGAAAACATTTCCTCTTTTCAGGGCACATCATCACAGTGTCAAGATTCCTGGCTAGAACATTAGCATGTTCTACTTCTGGCACATCAGCCACAATAGTTTCATGCTATAACTTTTTTAAAGCCATATCTCTACATGACACGCCTCTCCAAAGATTCCTTTAGTTTATTATCTGTGAACTACTGTGCATTCTTTGGAAATATAGTGAAATTGGTTTCTCATTGTCTTCTTCATGGTTTGGAATTCAAAAGTTTCCATCTTATCTACACTGCTATTTAACCCATAGCTCTGATTAGGGAAAAGAGATGAATTCATGCCATTCCCAAGGAAATAAGTGTGAAAATGAATACAAGTGACTAGCTCAGAATTATTATTTGTTTGATTACAGACATATACAAAAACTTAGTGAGGTAGAAAAATCCATCATATTTATTTAGTTTAGATGAAGAGTCCATTTGTAAAGAAATGAGGTGACCTTTCTCAATTTGGAAAATTTCATAATAAAATTTGAATACTTGCAATAATTTATAACAGGGTGTATCTGTCTACACATTCTAATGTTTTTATAAGTGGTGGGATGGAATATGTGTTGCATTTCATATCTCACTCTTGTCAACCTGTGAAGAACATGCTGAGAAAACAGGTTTAAATCTTAAGAACACACACATATATATATATATATATATATATATATATATATATATATATGTATATATATATATGTGTGTGTGTGTGTGTGTGTGTGTGTGTGTGTGTGTGTACACACTGCTGTTCAAAAGTTTGAGGCAACCCCTGTTGATTTTTTAAATTGGCTTAAATAGTAATTGTTTTGTATTTTAATTAAAAGAAAATTATTATGCATGGTTAAAAAAGTGAGACATGATTTATATTAGAAATTACATTATGACAAAAAGAAAAAAACATTTTATCCTTAAATTTTGCTTTTGTCATTTTTATGCTCCTTTAGCCTTGATTACTGCAACACAAATTTTTGGTATTCATTGCAAAAGTTTCTCAAAGTCTAAGTTTGATAATTGATTTCATTTTTTTTTTTCAGTGATTTTAAGAGCTTTTTTCATTTTTTCATTCTTCTGTAAAGTTCATCCCATGCTAAATGCAATTGTCAGGCCATGCCTTTTAGCAAGAAGCAGACTGTCACCTCTGGGTGTTGACTTCAATGTCCACTTTTATAAATATATATATAAACATTGAACACTATCATGTGTTTTTAAATGCCATGTAAATTTAGGATATAAGCAATCATGACTCTCTACAGGTTCCTTTTCTTTATTATATGTGAATTGCCATACATTCTTGGTAAAGATTGTGGAGTGGTTTCCTGTTGCTCTCTCTATGATTTGGAATTCAAAATTTTCCTTCTCTTAGCCTAGTTGCCATATAAGGCTTCAGAACCAAATCTGTCCTACAACTTAAACCTATATCTGAAGCGTCCTATCATATTGTATGGTTAGGAACTTGTTTCTGAGAATGCTTGGCTGGTGGTGGTAAGGAATAAACTAATCTCTGTTACAGCACATTTGTGTTTATTCAAGACACACAGAGCTAACTTATGATTTATACTAGAACAATGCTGAGTTGACCTTAGTTGCAGTTTTTGAGATAAAGTGCATAATCTAGTGTGATCACCAGTTTGAACAATGCCAGTGGGCTCAAATCTTTGGCCATGGGGACTTGTGACTTTGTGTAAGCATAACCATCAACTGCTTCTGAATAGTTTCATCTGCTCAATTCCAAAAATAGGGTCAGCATCTGTTTTCGTTTTTGGGGGCATTATCTCTCTAGGTCAATAACTTAAAGAGGTCATCACCTTGACAAATTGACCATGATAACATTTGAACCTGTGTGTTATGGTCAGATTGCTAATGTTCTAACCACTTAGCCATGTGCGTACATGCTCTTATATACATTTCTCATATTCTAAATATATTAATGCATATTTTCTTCTTTAACAGCATTTACTAATTAATTTTCCCTCCTTTTAACCCAAGCAAAGAAATAAAGCCACTAAGATGCAAGGGGTTACTGAGCATGAAAAAAAATAAAACATTATTATGGAGTGAGAAAAATAAAAGAACAGGAATTAAGAAGATAGAAGATAATGATTCACATTGCAGTAAAATATTTGAAGATCGAATTTGACCAGAAAGCAGAAGAACCAGAAGAGAGTTTCACAAGTGAGAAGTGTGAGAGAAAAAACTGTTACCATAGGATAGGAAGTTGTCGAGAGCCATGATCACCCCATGTTCAAAAGGTACATGGTAAATAGAAGAAGAAGAAACTTAAACTGTACCTTTGTCTTAGAGATTTATGCAACAGTTCAATTAAAGATGAAGCTATTTTTTCAGATATCTTATCTGATTTGTAGGACATTAAGTTTAAGGACTTTGGGTTTAACTTTCTTCTGAAGTGAACCAAGTTGTTATTGCCCCATTGGACATATTCTTTGTACTTTCTGGGTTATAAACTCATTTATATTTGTTCACTATCTATATTATGAAAAATATTAGGATGAGTTATATGTAACATTTGTTTCTGAGAACAAATTGTAAGGCAAATGTATAGTTATCCTAACTACAAATCATAAGTGGCAGTTAACAATAAGTTTGTAGTATACTAACATATGTTATTTTTATGTCCAGCAGTGGCAACATAAACAGTGGATTAAAGAAGAAATGTTCTTCCTTTCTGTAACAAGACAAAGTTGCATGTAGCAAGAATAATGAAGGAAAAAATTCTGGAACTTGTTTGGTCTGTCTATCCTACCCATCATATTCACCTGACCTTGCACTAACTGATTACCTTTTTCTGCCACTGCAAAATGCTTTGATTGGTGAAAACATTCTTCAGAAAACCTTATTCAAAGGTTCATCAAAAACCATTTCCATATCAAAACCTGAAGAATTTTACTCAAAAGGTATCAAAGAGCTGCCTGTTAAGTGGTATCAAATTATTGCAAATAATGGTGAATATATAATTGAATAAAATGTAATTGTACATCATTTTCCTCAGAATAAAGTTGATAAAATCAGAAATTATTTATGACTCAATATATAAGATAAGTAGGAGGTGTGGTGCAGTAATGGATAGTGGCTTGGATTAAGAAATCGGAGAGCTGAGTTCAAAGTTCAGTTGAGTTTGCTACATTCCCTTATGTGCAAATAGCCTTGGGAAAGGTATGAAACCATCTCTACTATACCCAGTTATGAGTAAAATTGCAAGATAGATTGGGCCCTGTAGCCTAGGATGGCAACAGGTCTAGGAGAAAGATAACTCTGAATTCAAAACCTAAGGTGGGTAGTTTGCTCCCTCAATCCCCAGCTATGGATAAATAGTAGGACAGACTGGGTCCTACAGCCTTTGATGGCAACCAGTCTAAGAAAAAGAAAACCTCTGAATTTAAACCAGCCTGGAGAGGGTTGGGCTTCATCAGGCTGTCTTGCCCAGGAAACACCACTGCTGCTGCAGCCGCAGTGCATGCGCTGGCCCTATGACTCTAAAGGGTTATGAAATTTGTGATCATGATACAAGATTGTTTGGAAACTTTTACTTTAAGATATTTTATGGATCAAAGTGCATCATCAGAAAAATGGATGCTTTTTGATAATTGAAATCTGTCAGGATAACAGTTTTCTGAATCGTCTTCTGTATATACCATTCTCCTGGAATCTCATCCTCATCTACATTATTATGTAACTGATGGAACAAAAATGGTTCAAAACTACTTCTATTAGTGGGTGCAATATTAGCTTCCTTCCAGCAATACACATCTTCATTTGGTTGGTTGATTTTGTTTAGTGACATAACTATTATGGGTTGTATAATGCTGAAATGTAAATAATTTAAACAATTTTATAGCTTCAACTAAAAATATTTTTGAATGCAATTGTATACTTACAACTACAGATAAAATATATTGCTGGTTATTTAAAAATGTATTTTTATACTTTCATAGTGTTTTTGTTTGATAGGCTCATTATTTGCCCATAGCTGGAACCCTAACAGGTGCTACCACCATGAGTAAGGGTAGATCTGGGAACAACAGCAATTAAGAGATGGTTCCAGGCTCTTCAAAACCTCCAGTCTCCTGATTAGAGACTTGCTGCTGGATGTAATTTATCGTCATACCCAGAACTAGCACTATCATTAAACTTAGGACTTTTAGGGAGGTAACAGAAGTGGGTGGATTTGATTTTTTTTTTTTTATTCCTTTTGATTTGAAAGAAAATTCTGAGGTCTAATAAAAAAGGAAAAAAATACTTTGGTGATTTTGGCAAAAGTTTGAAAATAAAATTATTGAAAAAGAAATAAGCAGAGTTGAAAAATAAAAATAAATGACTACTCGTTAAATTGTGTTAAAAGTGTGTATTTATTATAGGCTTTTTGAATCCAACACAAGATAACAATGTCTTGATCATTGGTGTGACTGCAATTATGTGATGAGGTTTTCATGAATATTTATATAATTGGGAAGCCAAAGCCAGTCAGCAAGTATCTTCAAAAGAAAGGTTTCATGTTTTCATCTGGGCAAAAGACCCCTGTGTCTTGCACATAGACCTTACCACTACCAACACTCCCTCTCTCTCTTTAATAATTCTCTCTAAGTATCTCCACATTTTCTTTTCAAAATATCATCCTCTCTCTTACTTCTTTTCTGTTACTTCACTCTTCAAACTGAATTCATTATTTTTCAAGTTGATTTTTTTCCTCTCTTTCTCTAAGTCTTACCCTCTCAGTTGATTCCTAACATTTCTTCTCTCTATCTCTAAGCCTTCCTTTTTCTATTGCTTGTTCTCTTTCTTACCTTACTTATCATCTTGGTATTTTTGTCGTTAATCATCCATATTTGCTGTACTAAATAACAACTCCTGCTTTGACTTTTATTATCTCCCACTAAATCTTTTATTCTCATTCACTCACTCACTTTCCTTTTTACTTATTTTCTCCTGCTCACTCTTTCTCCTTTTGTATCAGCCTCCTTCTCTGCATGACTTTTTCTTACTCTCCCTTTTTTTAATCAAACTTCTTTTCTTTATGAATTTTTCTTACTCTCTCTTTTTTTTAATCTGTCACCTTCTCTTTATAACTTTTCCTCAATCTCCTTTTCCTTATTGTTTTCTTACTCACTCTTTTTTTAATCCACCTTTTTCTCTTTGTGACTTTTTCTTACATCCTTTCTTTTAATTAGCCTTCTTCTTCATGACTTTTTCTTACTCTCTCTCTTTTTTCAATCAGCCTTCTCCTCCTCAATACCTTTTCTTACTCTTTCTGTTTTTAATCTTCCACCTCCTCATGACTTTTCTTACCCTCTCTCCTTTTAAGCAGCATCCTTCTCCTCATGACTTTTTCTCACACTATTTTTAAACCCTCTCTTGCACCTCCTCCCTCTTTTTCTCCTAACTTTTCTTATCTCTTCTTTTTTTTCAATCAGCCTTCTCTTCCTGATTTTTCTTTCTCACTCTCTTTTTAACCTAGAACCTTCTCCTTTTTCTTTTTCTATCAGTCACCATTTGTATCTCAATCATTTGGTATCTTACAAATTAGTCTCTCTGTCTTATTCTTATTCTCTCTTCCTTTATTATATTAAAACAGATTTTATTCAGCATGTTAATCAAATTATGATTAAAGACTCAAAAATTTGAACCAAACAACTTTTAAATCTAATGCCAACAATTACCATTTTGAAGCATTTGCTTTTAATTTCACACACAAAAAAACCTGCAATGTAATTTTCAAAAAGGTCATTATGTAAATCCAAAGGTCAAGCACTGTGTGTGTATGTGTGTCTATATCTTGACTGAATAAAAATTGCTAAGAGACTTGGCCAATGGACAAACAATATCAAGGTTTGTTTGTGAAACCTGTCAAATATTCAAATTTGAAACCAAGTGCATGTATTTATCATATATGTCATGGATTCACCAAGGAGAAATATATATATATATTTATATATATATATTAATCCTTTCACTCCTAAGCAAGGTGATAAAGCCACTAAGATGCAAGATGTTATTGAGAATGAAAAAAAACGGAGAAAACATTACTGAGGAAAAATGACAATAAAAGAACTGGTTTCAAGGAGACAGAAGATGATGATTGATGTTGCATTTAAATTTTTGAAGATTGTAGTTAACAGGAAAGCAAGAAGCCAGAAGAAAGTTCCGTAGGTAAGAAGTGTGAGAGAAGAAACTATCCGAATAAAACTTCATTTAGCAATTTCAACAGTAAAAGGATGAAACCTAACTGCCAATCTAGTCTTCTTCTTCTATGTGCCATGTCCCTTCAGGATGTTGGTGATCACTCCTCTCCACAATATTCTATCCTTTGTAGTTCTTAATAAATTTTGTTTTTTTGTTATCTTTTCTAAACTACCTTCCAACCAAACTATTTGATCTGTGAGTATCAAATTTTCCAAGATCTTTTTCTCATTATAGGCCCTAGAAATTTCAACTATTTCTTCCTGATGTTAAATATGAGTAATTTATTCATTTACATTTTCTCTAAAACTTTGTCATTGCTCACATGTTCAGTCCATGCGATTCTCAGCATCCTTCTGTAGAACTACATCTCTGTTGCTTCATGTTTCTTCTCCATCCATGAGGAAATTGTTCATCCTTTACTGCTATATAGAAGGACTGATATTACATAACAATTTAATACACTTTTTATTTGTTTCTAATGAAACTTTTCTGTTTCCTAATACTTTGCTTAGCTTTTGGAAGGCATAGATAAATGGTCAAATTATAAAGGTACAAGACAGATTCAGAGCAACTGATTTGATGCGATCCTTCCAATTCATATCAGCAGAAAAACATTAAACTGAGAAGGTTTAATGAGTTACTCTGCTGAAGGTTAGCATCAGCCATGCTGATGAAAGGTAAAAAGTTCTCTAAGATGATTAAAAGAGAGCAGTTTAATTTGGGAGGCAATCAAATTAAGAAGCTATTTCTTGCATCAGTTAACAACAAATTGAAGGTCATTTTCACAATCACCTTCCAAATTGACACTATAGAACCTATCAGACTTACCATTAAGACAGGGAGATTCTGATAAAGTATAAATAACTATTCTACAAAACATATAAGTAATTAATAATCATGATTAAAAATCAAAAAATGTGTGATTAGTTTTGTTAATAAAGTTTTGAGAAAAATACAATATTGTGCAAACATGTTTTGCAGACCAAATATCTAGAGATACAAGAGTTTCTCATTGTTGTGGCCTTGTACCAAACTTAGCTCAGCTTAATCATTTGAAGATAATTAACTAAAGATATAACCTCACAAACAACTTAAAAATGTAAATGATGAAACTAACTCTGAATATATATATATATATATATATATATATATATATATATATATAATGAAATAGCTTAATTCCAACAATTATTTTAATATATTTTCCGTCTATATGTTATTTTTGCTTAAATAATTTATATCTATAAAAAAACAATGTATAAATAGAAAACATATTAAAATATATATGATTAATACAAATATAAAATTTTTCACTCAGCTGACTGATGTTATTTTCAGCACCTTGACTCTAGAGTTTTATTGATGGACCCTCCAGCAATCGCTCCAGCCACTCCTCAGAAGATACCACCAATTGAATGTTTAGCTTTTCATTTTTGTCAATTGTAAATAATTTGTTCACTTTTCATTGGTGCAAGGTTGATTTTTTCTTCTGTCGTTGTGTGTGTGTGTGTGTGTGCATACACCAGGGAGTTTTGTAAAGTTCTCAGGCCAAACAAGAAACTCTTTAAAAAATACAACATTTGGTCAGATTTTGGGAAGTCAGTTAGGCTGACAAGTTTTCAGCACCCCTATTATACTGATATTAAAATAATGACTCTTACTGTAGTTATTTTCATAACAGTTTGTATTTGATTTTTATGGAGATGGAATTTTTTTGCTTAAATCAAAGTTATGGTCTATCTGATATTTATTTAAGGATTTTAGTGGATTATCTCAATTGAGGTCATTTTGAGTTCAAAGATGCAGCTTTTAGGTTTCTAAAGGTTTTACTTATGATATGAATGTTTACAGATGATGTAACCTCATTTTTCATATTGATTTAAAAAATTTGTCATATTCACCATGCAAACAAAAATCATACCAACATACACATTTTTGAATCTCTCAATACACACAAAATTTTAAAATAATGACAATAACCTATATAATAATAATTATTAATCTAACACACGGCGATATACCCATTTTCAATAGATCAAAGTTTTCTCAATAAACACAAAAGTTTCTTAAATAATAAAAAACAAGCTAAATAATGAAAATAGTAATATAAATAATATAATATTAATATAATAAGTTTCTTTATAAAGACACATTTGGCATTCATTGATTGAGCAGCTTGTTCTACTTTTGGTTGAAATTCATAAAATCTTTCTATTCAAACAATTTTGCAGGATAAAATGCCTTTCACAAGTCCAGTAGTTATATATATCTGTCTGGAATTTTAAGCTTTATAAGAATTATTATTTCGGAATTTGTGTATCTAAAAAGTTTGCAAAATCAATTATCTCCCTTACTTATATATATATATATATATATATATGTAGAGAGAGAGAGAGAGTATCAAAGACTTTTATTTTTGTGTTGATAAGGATCACATTTTTTCATGCATCATATCTTCATCTGCCTGTAGAATAATGTGGTTGTATTGTTGTTTTTACATTATTAAATATATTTAGTATGTTTGTTTTTAAACTGGCTCCTAATATTTGTAGTTACTTTTTAAAAATTTACATAGTATAGTATTTTTGTGGGCCATTTTTTAAAGAAATTAAATAAATAAAAACTTAAACACATAACTTTTGTTGATCTTTAACCAGACTTGTATAAACAGAAGTGTATATATCATTAATATAGGTTGACTGAATTAAAACAGTGATAGTTAACCATGACGACTGATCTTTGCCATAAAGAATCTATAAACTGTAATAATTATAATCTCATTAAAATGTAAATCTATTAAAGATGCAAAATCACAAATGGGGAAATATCATGTTAATGAGATTCCATTATCACCTTTGATCAGTCAACACCAAAACTTCATTAACCACTGATCATACAAGCTTTAATGAAACTGTTACACAAAGTAAGATAAAAAATGATTAATCAAAACTGAAATATATATATATATACATATATATATATATATATATATATATATATAAAGTGAACATTGAACTCAGAGGTGACAGGCTGTTTCATGCTAGACACAATCGTCAGGCTGCCTGATGATTGCATCAAGCATGAAACAGTCTGTCACCTCTGAGTTTTGAGTTCAATTTTCACTTTTATATTTACATATGCTCTATCTCTGATATTGAGCACTTTATCCCATAAATATAACACACCTTAAAACTATATTTCTTCATATATATTACATATATATATATATATGTATATATGAGAAAAATTAATGACAAAGGAATTTTTTTTTGCATGTGATGCATTTCATTCTTTTGAACTTCATCTGACAAAAGTGAATATTTTTGTTGATATAATTATATATCAGTATATAATTATGAAAATCTTATTGGTCAGAATTGATTTATACCAGGAAACAGTAGTAGTAAAAAATACTCAATGCACACATAAAGAAAATAAAATAAAAACAACATTCAGGGCTTTTAAAGATCAGCTGATCATTGTTTCCTTGGTTTCAACTTTTTGGTATCTTCAGGTGATTCGGGCTAAATAATTTCCTAACACTTTATTATTTAAAATAAATAAATGCACAACATGAAGTGTAATAGAAGGGGAGAAGAGATGCAAGGGTATTGAAATTGTATTGGAGGTGGGGTGTATGAACTGTACATACTTTCATCCTGGTTCAGATGAACTCGAAAAGAACTTTTTAGTATCTATGTTTTATGTCATTATTTCTGATCTTTCATTTAGAAGGTTTTTCTGATCTGGAAATGTTATTATTGTTAACTTTTATTCCCAGCAAAAAATGAAAATATCACTATGATTGTTGTACGGTTTGGCTTCTTTTTTATTTTTATTATTTCCCAGTTTGCATTCAGGTCTTTATTATTTTTTCTTTTAATTTCTATACATGGCTGGCTAGTCTGGGAGAATTTTTAAGTCTTTCTATCTTGAATGATGACTTGTGATTATACAAAGTACATGTAAAAGATACAAATAGCCAGACCAAAATATATGTAGAGTACACTGAAAGCAGCTTCAAGAGATGGTATAATCACAAGTATTTACATTTCCAATACAATTTCAATGCCCTTGCTTTTCTCCGCCTCTTCTATTACACTTCATGTTGTGTGTTAATTTATTTTTGAATAATAAAGTGTCAAGAAATTATTTAGCCTGAATCACCTGAAGATATTGCAAGGTTGAAACCAAGGCAGCATGATTGGCTTATCTCCTAATTTTTATATATATATATATATATATATATATATATATATATATACATATTGTTTTTCCTTTTCTTAGATGCATCTAGGTATATTATATATATATATATATATATATAAAATGGCAGGTTGTCCATATCCAAGTATGCTTATCTGCTAGGGCTGCTAGCTAATCCCTATTGTAGATGCATGCTCAGGCACATTTGTGTTTGTTCAACACATATGGTCCAGTGCCTCTGCTATTTACCTTGAGCTCCTTGATAAAATCCAAAGAAGAATCACCAATATTATTCATCCTGACCTGGTGGCTTGGCTTCATTCACTTTCCCACTACCATAAGGTTGCCTCTGTGCCTTTTCTATAAATACTTTCACAGTAATTGTTCAGATGAGCTCTTAGCTATGGTACCTAGACTTTTTGAATTTAAGCACAGTACTTGACTGGCATCGAGATCTCATCATTTTAAAGCTAAGCTGGCTAGCTGTAACCGTAAATTCTGTGCTAACAGTTTCTTTTCTCGTACTTCTCACTTGTGGAACTCCCTTCTGGCTCCATGCTTTCCAGCCAGCTTTAATCTGCAAAAATTTAAATGCAATGTCAATTGCTATTTATTGTCCTACTAATTATTAATGTTTCTGTTCCTAATTCTTCCACACCTAGTAACCCCTCTCATTTTCAACTACTTCATCACATGAGCATGTGTATGAATATCAAATACAATAACTGTTGATCTGTTCAGATCTCTCTAGTGATGTCTTTTCCTTTTTTATATATAAAACATGGGGTTCCTGAGTGCCAGAGAATATGAGAAAAAAAAACTTTTTAAGGAGAGAGAACAATAAAAGAACAGGAATTAAGACAATAAAAGATAATGATTGACAATGATAATGATTGTACTTAAATTTTTCAAGATCAAATTTGACTGGAAAACCAAACAGTTAGCATAAAGTATTTATAAAAAAGGCCCATGGAAGCTACATTAATACAGTGGAAAAGTGACTGAAGCTGAGATGCCAACTCAGGACCAACAATATTGCACATTCTTCTTTGGATTTTATCAAGAATCTCCAAATACATAGCAGAAACAGCAGACCAGATGTGGCAGTAATATTCAAAACCTGAATGAATGGTAGAGTTATAAATATGTAAGACAGATTCTGGTGAGAAAAATTGTCTTGTAAAGCACCGTGAACAAATCTATCTATCTATCTATCTATCTATCTATCTATCTATCTATCTATCCCTTTTCATAGATATTTATTTATCCATTGAGTGTAATACTTTTAACCAACATAACATATATAATATATCTAAACAGAAGTCTGCAAAAGATGGGTATACTCATAATGAGTAGGCATGCATTATATATATATATATATATATATATATATATATATATATATATATATATATTTTCTGTTTATATGTTATTTTATAGATACAAATATTTAAATAACTGCTCTGTTTATAATAAACAGTATTAACTATGTTTACCGGCCTGAATGTCCAAGAAATTTCAGGTTTGATTCCTGTCGGAGAACATATTTTCAATGAAGTTTCTCAGACATTCAGGCCAGTAAATGTAATTAATACTGTTTATTATAAACAGAGCATTTATTTAAATATTTGTATCTATAAAAATAGCATATAAACAGAAAATATATTAAAATAATCTTCAGACTTTGTCCATTTCATATATACATACATATATATCAAAGTATATAATTGGTATACACGGAATGAATTCCAATAACCAACAATTACTATTCTTAAAAGTATGTATTATCAAATGACCGGATGTATTGTAGCGTCTTGTCTTGTCGAACGTAATTTCAATGAAGAAATGAATTGAATAAACATATATATTTTTTCTTTTCTCAATAATTTTGTAGTTTTTAAACTTAATAGTGATTAAATTTGGATTTTAAAAATTGTCAGTTTTTAATTTTAATATTAAATTTTATCATATAAATTTATAATTATTAGTTAATATAAATTATTTTTAATATTACACGTATTTAAAGATCTGAATAGCTATTATAGCAGGATTTCGTTGTCAAGCTTTTGAATCTTTCTATACTTCGTTTTTGATTGGTTATTCTAGCTTTTGTAACAATGTTTCCCCCTAGTGTAGCATCGTTAATTAATCTGAAAGTTTTAAAACCATTTATTTTCTTTTCAACATCATCACTTGATAAGACACAGAGTGTGTTGAAACAAAATGGCTATTTTTGTAGTGATTTTATAACATACTTATATTATAATTTTTTTATAAAAATAATTACATACATATATATATATAGATATATATATATATATATATATATATATATATGTGTGTGTGTATGCAGGGCCAGTACAAGGGTCTTGTGCTCCCCGGAGCTATGATACATCCACCAAATCTCTGATATAAACCATGCCCTCCCCACTCTACTATATCTCAATTTTTCATAAGGTAGTAATCATAGAAAATGCAAATTTTATTGTAACCTAATTATGTACAATAATGGATCATATGCAATATAGGGGAACAGTAAATTACAGAAATTCAAGATAAATACAATGTTTCTAAATACAACTTTAGATTTTTCTTGATAAAAAGTTGAACAATTTTAACGCATTCAATATTATGGATAAAAAAAAGAGTGAATTTTATTTAGTATTTTTTTAAACTTAGTATGAACAAAAGAAATCCATGGATTTGGTAAAAAAAAAAAACCAGAATGACGTGAAAATATTTTCTCTTTTAATAGCCAGTTGTGCTTAGTTTAATTTGTAATGTATATAAATGTAGGTAGACAACAATAAATGGTGATAAGAAAGCAAAGGTCACAAAACACTGCCTGGGAACCCCGATCAGGCTCTTTTCCAAAATCTTTGATGTAACTCCTTTCTATAGTACCACCATTCCAGAACATTACGGCTCAGACTCCCAGTGCTGTATCCATGGATTCAAATTACCCACATTTCCTCAGTGTTCTAATTGTAAGGAGGAAAAGCTTTTTTTGCAAGAACTGCTGCTTTGGAGAAAAAACTCCCACATGGATGCTTCCCTGAATGCTACAATCTTAACCTATTCAAATTGCAGGTCAATCATTACCTAACCTCCATATCCTTATAATCTTTGCTTCTTACCTTTTACTTTGAATGTCTTTTGATCTGTGTATTGGGTGAAAATTAATAAGGTAATAACTCTATGCTCACTCTATTGCTGCATGTCTCCAAAATTTAATAAGATGAAATCAGAATTGTTTTAAAAGCAAAGCAATTGATAAATAAAATTAATTTCTGCTTTTCTGTTTCTAGGGATTGAACCCCCAACCCTCAGCCTTTGTGGGTATCACACTCACTATAAAAAGAAACAAAATAAACACTAATGTACATGTGCTTCAATAAAAATTTCAAGCATCACAATTTGGATTTGCACAAAATGCAGATTGAGCTTGTTTCGAATTAGTTTTCACTTTTCACTTTCTTAAGTTCTTACCATTCCTCTGATTAATTTTGTTCCGTCCGTTCTTGATCGAATTACCGTCTGAAGTTGGCAGTTTAACTTCCTTTGAAACTCAATTTACTTTCACACTCATTGTCACTGAGTGCTTTAGTTGGAACAGTGTTTGGTTTGACCAAAAAAAACAAAACAAAAAGAAATAATTCTCTCCCCTTGCACCCTGTTAAAAAAAAAAAGGTCCCCAGAAGTGAGAATCTGGATTTTTCTTAAGGTGAAAGGAACTAGATCAAATAAGAAAATAAGAAGAATTTAAGAACGAAAAAAAAAAAAGAAAAGAAAAAGTGTCCCAAGAGTGAGAAGAATTTTTTTTTTTAGATTTTTTTTTTTTTTTAATTTTAAAAATAAAAACAACAAGGATCAAATACCAAAGTTTTAACAAAATCTCTCCAAGGCTTTTTACCAAGATTTTACCAATTAACAGAAACTGCAGACAGAACAGTAATCAATAAAAAAAAACAATAAAAAGGTAGACAAGAAACAGTCATAAAGTAATAACAAGTGCAGTGGCTATTAGATAAGGTTGCAAGGTGTTATATCTAGATTAGCTAAGTGGTTAAAACATTAGGAATCTGAACAAAAGACCAATCATACAATGTTCAATATTTGTCAAAGACATGACTTTGTTAATATTGGCTTAGGAAGTCAATCACTGCATGCATCACAATCAAGAAGTTCCTGAAAACCATGCGATGGGTTGATCCAAGCCTTATGAGTGAAATTAGGTAGAGGAAAAAGTACAGAAGCTACAAATGATGACACTAGCATGATGTCCCAAGTCTTCATGATTGAGTGTTTGAGTGTACTTGTTTTGTTCAAAACTCTTGATCACACCAGATTATGCACTGTACCAGAAACTGTAATTAAGATTCACTCAGCATAGTCACAGTAGAATCCATCAGTGGGCTCTGTGAGTTCCGAAGGAAGTGAACTTTACTTGAGTAAGAATTTGTAATAGCTATTATTATTATTATTATTATTATTATTATTATTATTATTATTATTTCCTTGGATTTCTGTTGTAAAGACATTTCCTTTTGGGTCCCAACCAGAGACTTAAAGTCAGAAAAGGCTTTATGACATTTTCCACTGATCATTTTTGTAAAAAAAAAAAAATATCCAAAAAAATCTAAGATCACACACACATTACATAGATGAAGCTCTTTGTAATGTGGGAGCTGTACTTGTGAGTGCAATCTTTTGTATTTTTTTAAGGCATGGGATTGCTTCAATGAGTCTATTGGAATTTTTTCCAATCAATCTGAGGGATCCAACTACAACATAAATTATTGATGTCCTCATGTGCTACATTTTTTTTGAGATTTCCAGTTGAAAATCCTTGCATTTTGACATTTTTTGAAGATCTTCAAAGATAGATTACAATCTGCAGGAAATGCTGTCACTAAGACAGTATATCTGTTCTTGTGGTTTTTGATCAAGAAGTCTGGCCAATTAGTTTTGATTGTTACTGTCTATGTGTATTGTAAAAACCCTTATTATTATTATTATTATTATTATTATTATTGTTTTAAGTTTGATTATTTGTTTGGTTTGTTTAATAGCATATCAACTCCCTATGGATCATTTAATGCCAAAATTTAATTTCCTTGGGAGCTTTGGTAATTTCTTATTTTTATTATTATTTATGATGGTCTTTTGGTTTTTCATCAGGATTGCTTCCAGAATTTGTAGTCATTTTTTGCAGTTGTTTTTATAGAGGATTTTGGTGTTATTAATTAAGATTTTTCTTATGTCAGATGATTTGAATGAGTTACTGGTGGTACTGTATATTGTTACAAGATGATTTTTTATGGTGCTAATGTTATTGAGGTGGTATGTGAGCCTATATGAGAGAGTTGTGGTTGTGTGTCCAATATATATATATTTTCTTATTTACACACATATATATATATATATATATATATATATATATATATATATATATATATACATATACAAAGAGAGAGAGAGAGAGAGAGAGTTGAATGATTAAAATAATGAAAATAAGAAAAATATGACAGACAAGGAAAAGTTGATAAATGTCTTGTTTAGTTTTTCCAACATTTATTCATTTTTCAGTTTGTGGGAGTAGTGAGGGAGGGCAAAAATTTTTCAGTTTGGTGGGGAGTGAGGGAGGGCAAAAATTTTTTATATTGTCCATATTTTAGTTTGGAGGGAGTGAGTGCAAAAATTGTTCATATTGTCCATTTTTCAGTTTGGGTGGGGGAGTGTGGGAGTGCAAAAATTGCTTATATTGTCCATTGTCCAAAGTGCTTTTGCCCAATTCTTTAGCTATTGTTATGGTCCAATATCCTCGCACCACAGTTATGGTCCAAGGTTAGAACCAAGGAAGAACAACATGAACACAAGAGTAGAATAACAAAGATATATTACAACAGAAATATAGTACAAGAAGTTGAAGGTGTTAGTAATGACGGTCTGTCTGGTTTAGAGTGAACTAATATTGTCTCGACTCATTACACCATTCATTCATTATACCTCTTGAGAGGCGCAGTATTTATAGTGTCAGGAAGAGTCCATTATCGTTATAGGTAAGTTCCCATAACAGCTATTTTCAAGGGCGTTTGTTTTTAAATTTTGTCAATTTCTTATCATGTTTGTCTTTTTAAGATATAGTCTTTGTGTTGTTTGAGCACTTGGGACAATGGACAATATGGACAACTTTTGTACTCCCTAAGCTCCACCAAATGAAAAACTATAAGAATAGTGGAAAAACTAAATAAAAAATATTCATCAAATTTTCCTTTTTCCTCATATTCAATGAAACATGTTTGAAAGAAAGGTTGCTGGTTAAATATATATATATATATATATATATATATATA